GGGGGGGCGGCGAGTTGCAGAGGGTCCGGGCGGCACCCGCTCCCCCTGGACTCACATGTGACCCATCACGCTGGGATGGCCGGCGAGGGATTACTCAATTTAGTTGACTTGACTGTCTTGTTCCTTCCCCCCCCACCTTGTGGGGCTCGCTGAGTGGCCCCGTTATGTGCAATTACCAAACTGTGAGGCAAGTCCATGCTGCTGAGATGTCAGTGTGATGCTGGAGACTTGAACACGTCCAAGGAGGACTGCCAAAGACAGGGGGAAGAGAAAGATGGGAGGGGACTGGGGCCGGTTTAGAGGGCTGCTCCCCCGCAAGCAGAAGCTCTTTGCCTGGGTGCTGTGGGAGCCTTGGCTACTACAGTGAGGGCAGGGGGGAGAGCTGGCTTCCTTCCCTGTGCTGCAGTGGCTGCCCTGCTTGCAAGCCACCATTTGGCACCTGGCCTCCTTGGAGTGATACCTCTCACTTGGGAACAGTGGGGGCAGCTCGCGGGTGCGTTGCAATATCCTGAATTGCGTGGTCAGGCAGGGAGTGCTGGCTCCCAGTGAGGGCCCCCCAGCCCAGGATGGGAGGGGGATGCGCTTGCTGCGTATGCACCCTGCCCTTTAGGTCTATGTGCCAAACCCTTCTGGGATGGACAAGCACTGACCCAGGCAAACTCCAAACTGTGAAGCTCTTGCTGGCAAAGTGCCCTAGTGCTCTGCCTTCTCTGAAGTGAGGTGAGAAGATCTCTGACAGTGTTCAGGCTCTGGAGGTTTCTGCAGGGGACTTTGGGCAGTCCTTGGGGAGCCTGTCCTAAAGCCTCTCCTCTGCCTCCCATCAGCAGAGGGGCGGGAGGAACAAGGCTTCCTGAGTTAATGTGGCTTGTATCTTGCCACCACAAGAAGGCTGAGGTCCTGTGCTCAGTCACTTGCTGCTTAGCAGTATGGTGGAGGAGCCTGTGGTTGGCACGGGTAAGCTACAGGAAGCTTCTCCTTGAACCTGGGCTGGGGGGACTCCCTGGGCTGCCCCCCTTTGAACAGAGGCAGCCCATACCCCAGCCTTGTCCTCTGCCTGGTGGGCAGGAGCATGCACCATTGCTCCCCCTTGTCCCAGGGCTGCTCCCTGCCTGTGCCACAGCCCCTGGCTGGGGAGGTACGAGGGATCCAGCACAGGTTCCAGAGAACAGCCACAAAAGGGGAATGAGGCCACCCAGGATAAGTGGGAGCCTGAAGCAAGGGCAGCTGTCAAGTCAGCCCAGTGCACGCTGCTTCAGTCGACCTGTTTACTGCATAAATGTATGGGGAGAAAACCTTGTGTATGGAAGCTACAGAAAAAGCCTATTTTTGCTATAAATATATTATGTTTGACACGGATGCGTGCTTTATTTCTGCCAGATGTTGGGAAGGGGACTCAAACTTACATAGCTGCTCTGAGGCAGTGTCTGGCTGACTGCAACCCCAGGATGGCTCCAGCTCCAGGAAGCCCAATGTTCCCAGCTGCAGCAGGGTCCTGCACCAACAGCTCTGGTCCAGGGCCAGCAGCTGGTAACTGAGGCTGGACCTGTCCTCTTCAGCTCAGCTATGTCCTCTTCCCATGCTCAGATAAGCAACTCCCACATTGTTGCATGTTCAATAAGAAAAAGAGGGAAGGTTTTCAAGGCGCTGTGGTGCTCTGGCAAGGAAGCGGGTGCCAGAGGAAGGATCTGGCTTCTCCCCTGCCAGGTACCTGGGCCATAGGTGGTAGAGGTGTGGGTGCTGCTTTTGCAGCTGAGGAAGAAGCATTTTGCTCACGTTCACAAGCAGGTGCTTGGTGAGCAAGGCCAGAAACCAGGACCAGCTCTTTCCCCAGCCATGCTGCAGGTGCCCTCCCTGCAGCATGGGCTGGAGGAACCTGCGCTGGGGCTGGGTCAGCTTCTACTGGGCCAAGCTGGTGCCTGGGCAGTAAAATGCCAGGACAACTGCTGCTGGGCAGTACTGGCTGAGTCTTTATTGGTACTAGGACAGTGGCACCAGTGCCAGGATGACTGGTACTGGGACAGCTGCCACCAGGCTTGGCTTGACAGTACTGGGACAGGCACTGCTGTACTATCATTTAGCCCCAGCAAGGACTGGTCACAGATCAGGGCAGCTGGGTGTCCTGTTCGCCATCAGGCATAGTGCTCTGATTAACCGTAGCAGCCTGGCTGCCAGCCAGCCATTTTGCCAGCCTTTCCCCTGCCCCTGCCAGAGCAGTTCTGTCCCCTGCAGGGCTGGGACAAGCTGCAGCAGCCAGTTCTCTGCAGGGCTCACCACTCCTGAAGCAAGCAGCACAGCTTGGGGCTGGCTCCTAGCACACTGCCACCATCACCATCCTCACCACCTGCCATCAACCCCGCGCTGCAGGGTAAGAGAAGGAAGAAGGCAGTGACAGCGTGTCACTGGCTGGGGGCGAAGGGCTGCCTGTCCCCAGGAGGTTCCCCAAAGCAGGTTCCCTTTTGCCCCCCGTCTCTCTCCATTTGTGCACAGAGCTAGCCTCGCAGGAGCCCAGGCAGCTGCCACTTTGCCACTTGCTCTAGCTCACAGAACAAGCACTGGTCACAGCAGCAAGACTAAGCAACCCTGACCAGAAATGAGAACAACTGCTGGCAAGGCCAACAGAGACTGCCAGCCTCAGCTCCCTGACAAGAAAAATACATTCCCACATGATCTTAGAGCTAGGAAGCAAGAGATGAAGCAACCATCTACTCCCACCCCTGAAGAGCCAGCAAAGTTACTATCATGTCCCAAGTAGGTCTTGCAGCAGATAACTCAAGTATGGGGGATTGTGTCGCTGGAGAACCCTGTAAAGGTCTTGTTGACCAGACACTTCAGGGCAGTTCTATTCCCACACCAGCAACCACAGCTTAGCTTCTGAAACTCATGAGATGGTCCTTCCCCTTACCAATGCCCCCTGCTCCTCTCCTGTGCCCGGCCAGGCTGCGAAGTTGTTGCACTCACTGAGACTCAGGCTTTGAGGCTTTCTGGGACTAGGATATTCCTCTCTATTGCTCTGCAGCTGGAAGGAAGAGAGCTGTCAGAGCCCGGGGTACCTCTCCTCTGCAGGAACCCTCCAGGACACCCAGCACACCCATATGGGAGCCAGGCCACTGTGACTTTACCTGGAATTACTGAGAGGAAGATGCAGGCACACATCCAAACCAGTCACCGAATTTCTTGCAACAGCCTGTAGCAGAAAGACATGCTGGCAGGCACAGCCAGGACTGCTTTTGTAGCAGCTGAGCCATCCCCAAGCTGGGTGGTGGGAGTAATGGTGTGTCCCAGCCTGCAGAGAACAGCAAGCTGCACTGCAGCAGTGCTTACTGTCGCAGCTCCTACAGCCCACCCATTAAAAGCCAGGCCTATGGCTGCCAGTCTTACCACAGCAGCGGAGGGGGAAAAAATAGTACATGGGAGATGGGGACAGACTGTCCCCTGGAGCAGGCAGCATACACCCCACCATCTCCCCATTCTCCAGCCTGCCTTCCCCACACACCAGCTACTCCACCACAAAAGCCATGTAAAATAGGGGAACAGACTTCCCTTCTGTGCTTTCACATGTGGTCCCATCACTGGTGGTGCAGAAATGTTCATCAATCAGCAAGTATCCATGGCAAAGCAGGTCTCTGGGAAGAAACTAAACCAAGCAGAAAAGCTGGTGAAGTTTTCGCACTGGCTTCAGGTACTGCTGCTTTGCAAGCAACTACTCCATAGGCTAAAATGCTTATGGTGACAATTTGGGAAAGCTACAAGGTCTCCAAGACTACAAGAACAGCTGACCTACTGCAAACCAGGTGCACTGAACCCACATAGCTGTTAGGATGGAACACAGCAGGACCCTTGGTGACTTCTGCAGTAACACACACATCCAAAGCAACCCTGAGCCAAGACATCCAGGTCCCAGCCTGGCATCCATTCTGCACTTTGCTCTCCTTGGCAATGCTCAAGTTTCACAGGCCAATGCTTAAATCAGCATAAGAAGGGTTAACAGCTACTGGGGGGAATGCATGGTTCCCTGTTTTGAACATATCCACTCTGATCCCATCAACTGCAAAATCCACCCTTGGCATTTTGTTTCTCCAGTAGCACCTACTGTTATGTGCAGGAAGCCCCAATAAGCGCTCAAGGAACAGATGAGGGACAGTTCCCCTAAGGATCTCCTCCTAATCCCCCATTTTTGGAGATTGGCTTAAATCTTGAAGCAGGAGCCTTGACGTCCCTTCCAGTTATTTGCATTAACTATTTTAACACTATTATTTTTCTATTATATTCTTTATCAGATATTATCGAATATTGAGTATCCAAGGCTTTGAATGCAAGTTTTCTGGCTGTACACATCCTGTTCAATTTCACAAATGAGACTTTATCCTCAGTAGTTTTAAAAACATCCCTGACTTGCTTTCCCTGTGTCTAACCAGGACAGTGGAATTTGTGCTCTAGACCCCTTCCCTTTCCTATTTCTCTCTGATCTCCTTACCTGCCTCCACTCTGAAGCAACGTGACCGAGGCTCTGAATCTGTCTTGTCTTCTGCAAGGCCTCTGCTAAGCTGTGGTGCCCAAAGCACCCCCAGGGCAGAGGGGGACAGCAGATTCTCCAACCTCACCCCAGCTGCAAGAAGGCAGACCTGCTAGAATGACATGCTATTTTGATTCAAGGGCTCCAGGACGTTCCACGCAAGCTGTTTAACTTGCTCAGACTGTATCTGCGTTCCCACTTGCCTTTTATGTCAAGGACCCCTTAAGGTACCTTGCTGAAGCCTTTTCCTGCCCAGAAAGGCCTCTTACCCACCTCTGAGCAGTCCCAAGGAACAACCAGCTCCTGGCTTCCACTCTGACATTGATGTCCCCTTTGATGGGCCGCTCCAAGCCATTATCTTCTAATACCAAAAGTGTTCTCCAGCTGTAGTAACCTTCCTTTTTCTGATGGGGGATTGGGGCAAACATAAAAAGCTCATTCACATGCTCATCTGTCCTAATTAAGTACCAGCATCTGCTTGTAGATGGAGTGGCTGAAAGATAACAGCAAATCCATCTCTCTAGTCCTAGAGATAAGCGGTAGAGTTGCCAACACTCAAAGATGTTTGAATACAGCTATATAAAATGAACAGTCATCTTCTGCACTAAGGTCTAGAAGGGCAAGGAACGATGGGGCTAGGGTGACTCTAGACTAGTCCTGCAGAAGTTAAAACTCCCCAGGGTTGGTTTTAGGGCTTGGCAAGCCCATGGGTCCCCACACACTGCCAGCACGTTGTAACAAGGGGCTCTACACACTGCAGAGCACACTGGAGCCTTTGTAGGCTGTCACACTGCAACCCTTCCACCTCTGGCCAGCTAAGGGGCATTTCACCAAGGGGTGCCCTAACGGGTGAGGAGGACAAAAGAAAGAAGCCAAGAGCAAGGAAAAAAAAGAAACCAGCCCTTGGCCAGGGAAACAGAACAAACCGCATGAGACACAGAGCAGAGGATTACAGGTTTTTATTTGTGAAACATTCCCCCCTAGTCTAGCACATTCTACAGTCTTGCTAGCACAGATGGTAACAAAGAGCCTGTAATGGTTCAGAAGTTACACTGCTACAGAGAGCAAACAAAAGCAGAAATTTATTATGTAAAAAAAAATTATTGTGAGAAACGGGTGAAAGAGTACAGAGGGGATGGGGCGGAAACTATGCCAGCTAGTGGTGCCTGCCCGGTGTGCAGCAGACGTCTGTGCTAGCAATGCAGAAACCCTTCCTGGGATTGCATCAGGTGAAGGCTCCACTGTGCTGGAAGCATAATTTCACAGAACCATCCCCATTGCCTTATAAAGTAGGCTCCTTTCAGAAGTGACCTATCCTCTACATAGCCAAACCTCTCAAGACACCTTGGGGAGCACCACAGAGTAGCACCACACTGAGCACCACAGCACCAGCTGCAAACATCCCCTTCTACCACACACCATAATGCTGCCTTAGCCAGAGAACCACAAATGCAACACCTCTTTCACCTTCAGCTTCTGCTGCCTCTTCTCCCTGCTTTACACCACAGTATTAGATGCAATTTTGATTCCATCAGAGATTGTTTTCTATTGACTACAGACACACCAGGGTGCGGGGAGGCTACTGAAGAGAGGGGATCCCTTTCTTGAAGGGTGAGCAACTGTGGTGATGGGCTACCACATGCTACCAAGCTTTCACATGGACAGATTTTTCAGGCCTCAGGAGTCACCCCTTGCTTGCTTTTCCTTACATTAATTAGAACATGTTTTTCATTAGACATGCAACTGAGGCAAACCCTAAGCTATCCCTGTTCATGCTCATGTCCCAAAATTGATTAATTTGAGGTGGTTTTTTTGATAATGGGTCCAAACTTGCCCATTATTTTGGTGACAGTCCAGGACAGCACTCCCAAAGCACTCCTACCCATGGCACCAGACACAGGTTTCTCATTCCAGGAGCAAGGCTAGCCCTGAAGCATTTGAGTGTGGCTATAAATAAGCAACTAAGTAAGAAAATTAACAAATGGTGATCTACATAAAAGCTTTCTAGGCATTTCCTTTGGAAAAGCTGATTAGTACTACTTGCTTCTAGTATGAGCCTCATTTATGAATACACCTGGGCTCTGGAACACTCCCACTGCTTTCATTCCTCTCAGTTACCAGGATGATTCGACTGCTCTTTTTAAAGCAGAACAGGGTAGGGGATGACAGGTTTTTAGACACACCAACAAGGAAAATTAAGGGCTACAAGAAGCTTTCAATATTCCAAGCTCTCACAGGAAGCTAGGAGTATAGTAAAATATGCTTAAGTTATAAAGAAGACTCAAGCAATTTGCTAAACCCGTGTGTAAATAAAACCAACAAGTCTGCCTCCTACTAGGCTCCATGGGCCTAGGTACCCAAATCCTTTGCGGTCCAGAGCTACATGGTGGCTTCACACTGTGAAAGATGGCATTTGATGTTCTGGAGATGAAGAAACTTGTTATGCAAGCTCAATGAGGACAAGGAAAATGCACACATTGCAATGTAAGGCTTCATGCCAAGAGTCACCTGCCCACTCCCCTCAGGCACTTATTCAGGAGCACTACTCCCCAGGTCACTGGCCCTTTCCCTCCCCACCTAGCTCACAGCTGCTCTTGAAATCCCAGTCCAATTCTTCATTAGAGCAAAAACTAGCCCACAAGTACATGGCCTGTGGGGCTAACGCAGAATGAAGATCCATCGAGACACTATCTTGAATCCAACAGCAGTCAGTAGCAAACACTTTGGGCAAGAATACAAAAAAATGGACAAGTATTGAGCATTCCCCTGCCAGGTAGAGCCTTTCAGCAAGCAGTTTAGGAACTTTAAAGTCTCCTATATGCTATGAGGAAAAATCCCAGGCTAGAAAAGCTCAAGGTTTATGAAAAGGAAGTTAAGAAGGGGTTGGAGAACTATCGAATTATCTGCACCCCTGCCCTCTGTGCCCATGATCCAAGCTATCCTGCTACACATACAAATGAGAAGCTAAATTGCCTGCCTGAGCCTGCAACATTACATTCATGGTTTATTGAGCACTTCCAGAGCACCGTTAGTCTTCCAAACATCATCCTCAGCACTAGTGTGCTCTCAGGCTTCTTCAGCCACTGCCAACTCCTGTTGTGTTGAGGAGATAAGAGAGCACCTGCACGGACTGCTGCAAGACAGAGGCATCACTGCCAGCACACTGGTACAGCAGGACTCCAGCCAGAGGTGCTCCTGTCTCCAGTGCTGTCCCCAGACAGGCAACTCCACAGGAGTCTAGCCTGGGAGTATGGAAACTAAAAAAAAAAAAAAAAAAAAAAAAAAAAAAAAAAAAAAAAAAAAAAAAAAAAAAAAAAAAAAAAAAAAAAAAAAAAAAAAAAAAAGATAAGGGCTCTATTCCTTAATAAAAAGACAGGATCTCTTACGAACTCCTACTGTAGAGCACCAACCACAATGAGCCTCGGTGTACCTGGGCTGCAGCTCCTTCAGCCTCACCTTCAGGGTGAGGATGTGTACTAGCTGAGAGTATGCCAGATCTCCCTAGGGTGCTACCCAAGTGCTCAGGGCCAGGCTCTCTGCAGCTAGAGATCCGGCCAGGTCCCCCCCAGTGCTGTCACACCTAGGGGATACCTTGGAACAGCCTAAAGACAGCACTTCTTCCCCACAAACCAACCCAGCCAGAAACAGCTCACCATGGATTTGCAGGTCTGAAGCATCTCCAAGATATTGTCCTTCCTATTGCTTTGGGCTCTGTTTTCATGAGAAGTGAGCTAGATACTCACATATAACATGACCACAAGTACCAGTGTCTTGTCCTTTGATATGTGGCTGTGAAACACGGGCACCCAGTCACCTTGCTCTGGAGATCATGGGATTCATTTCACCTCAGGGCCCAAGCTGACAAAGTGGCATATTATGTGCCAAACAACATAAACTCCACAATATCTATTAGCTGCAGCCCAGAATGGCCAATTCTTATGTGTGGCACATGCCATCAGGTGTTTGTGGAAAGGGTATCTGTGTAATGAACCAACTGCGGTGAGAACGTGCATCCAATGACTCAAGTCTGCAAGACCTGCCACCCCAGCTTAGGATCTGCCTTTTTGTTTGTTACAATGAGGTGTGGCCAGACATGCAAATTGTAGGTAAATTTGAAACATATTACCATGAGGTCTGCCATGAAGACAGCCTTCAAAGTAAAGGTTATCAAACTATTCAAAGGCTCTGATGGCAGAGCATGCTAAAGATAAGACTGTTGAAGACTCCTTGTTGCAGGCAACCAGACAAACTTCTCCTATTCCAATCCCCAGTCGAATGAAATGAAACCCATGAAAACAGATCAGACAAGGTAGAAAAAGAGTATGGCTCATTGCACTGCATGATACAAATCTTCTAAACAGAATCCACCACTACCTTCAGAAATGACTGGAGAGACTTTCTGCCAGACCAAGCCCACCAGAACACCATGAAAGCACCATGTCTCCCATAGATCCTACCACTGCAAACACCAAAAAGGTGACAGGAACACGCCAGCTAATGCTCTGAACGAACCTCCTGGCTCCTAGCTTCTGTCCTGCAAGAACAAAGAGACAGTGCAGGATCCTATGCACCTCCCCAAGGGTGTGCGTACACAGGGTTTAAGTTCCCCAGCAGTAGCAGAAACAAAACCCCTCAGAAACCAAAAAGCAAGCCACCACAACTGATTGCGCCCACTATAAGGGATACTCAGAGTATCAGCAGATCTAGCACAGTCCAGTCCATACCATCTTCTTGGCAGACTAGGGAATATGTCCTACGTACCAGCTGCAGTCCAGCTACTTAAGGGATTAGCTGAGAATGAGCGTGCTGTTAATGATTAGCATTCCCTAACATTGTGCTCTTGGCTTGGCAGGAGTGCCCAGTTGAGGAAAGACTGAGTAGCTGTGGCTGAATGCCATGCCACACAGGCACCTTCTGCCTGTACTGGGGAGAGCAGCCATTCCCCAGTTACACTGTGGTGCCCTTCCCACTTTTCCAATAACATTTTCAGCTTCTTGGCCCAAAATGCCTTAGGCCTGTCCCCTCCCATACTGTAGTGTTATCTGGTATCAAGGGGACAGATGCAGCAAATGTAGGGTTTTTTTGTTGTTTTTTTTAATCCAATAATCTCATTTTCAATTAAAATATATAATATATATTTAAAAAGGTTTAGAAAAGCTTCTAAGTAATTTGCAGCTACTTTTACATATAGATTACAATAATGTACAACTCTTCCCCAGGGTGGTTTGAAACCATGGGGACCTGCCAATTCTTTCCCCTCAATCATATATGTTATCAAACATCAAATGCGTTTGTTCCTAATACAGCTCTGAAAAAGAAGTCTGTCACTGGTACCTTCTCAGAGGGAGAGATGCCTAATACGCCTAATGGGGACACACTTAACATTGGCTTCATATTCACTGTAGAAAGTTCCCAGATTAGTAAAAAAATATTTCATCTATAGAAAATACCCTTCTGAAAAGCAACCAGGGCTCTGTTAAGGCCACACTGAGGCTTTCCATTTCTCTGCTGTAGCAAGACAGATCAGAAACAAACCCAAAATGATGTTTTTATGTCCCAGAAACAGCTATTAGCACCTGTGCTTATTTTACAGCAGCCTGGTGTACTAGAAAAGTGCTAAAAACAGCATAGGGACTTCTCAAAACATGCTTCTGATTCAGTGGGGCTCAGTTGGCACTGAAAAACTCAAGGTCCTCTTGTTTCACTTAGGTGGGCAAGAGGAAGCCTTTTAACACCACGACCACCACCCTTCGCTGCAGAACGACGACGGATGCTCCAGAGATGGGCATACTGAAACCAACCCCTGAAATAGCACGCCCTTTCCCACAGGGCTTCCACCAACAAGCTCCTTCCAATTCCCCTGTGAGTCTGTGGGATACCAAGTGCACATCTGGTGGCTTAATGAAAACATCCAACTACTTTGCCCCAGAGGGCAAGCCAAGTGAGAGCAGAGCCAGCCCTCTGCCAGTCCGAGGCACTGGGAGACTTCCTGCCATAGCAGAGAGAGGATAGCCATTGAGAGATTCCTCCAGCAAACCCAACTCTTCACATGGGGAAACACTGTTGCCTGGCACAGAGTCTTCTGGCCAAGGTTTTTACCAGGGCTCCTCTTTGGACATATAAAGCCCAGGGTTTCTCCAGATGGTCCAAGTCAGGGTCAGGTTTGTAGGAAGAGCCGTGGCACATAACAGGATTATTATTTTTAGACTCTTCCTGTTGCAGCCAGGTGCAGGTTGCCCCTTCTTCCCAAGTGGGCAGCCCCTTCTGCCCAAGGCATGGTGTGCAGGGAAACAGAATCCAACGTGCTCCATTCTTTTCTCTGCCAGGGGTGGGAAGTGAAGTCAGAACCCGATGTTCAAAACCTGAAGGACACTAGGAAGAAGAAAAAGAGAGTGAATGGTTAGATCTCCGCTTCAGTGGGAATCCTGGATGCATAGATAAGGAGTTAATTACTATCAATCACCCCTTGCTGCTCAAAGGATGCTGACTTCCAGCAAGGAACAAACACAGATCACAAGAAACCTTCATCAATGGAGAATCAAGTGGATGATGCAACTGCTCAGCTCCAAGCTTCAGAGTATGATTGAGACAGAAAGCCAAAACAAAAGCACAAAGGTCAAAAGTAAGCAATCCTCCTGTAAGCTGACGGCACCAACAAAGCTCTGCAAGATAAGGAGGTTTAAAGAAGGACTTGGCTAACATCAGAGACAATCCAGGAAAGCAACAAGGAAGAGGAAAATTACTCTTCACCTTAAGCAACCACAAATATCAATTGGTAGGGAAAAGACTAAGAAAGGGATTTTTAGAGATCACACACTAAAACTATTTATGCTCACCCACTTAAAAACTCCTGTATCTATGTGCAAATAATTAAACATTTCTAGTTATCTCACTCTCCCACAGGTCTGAAGATCCCTTCTCAGGTCTTCTGCCTCACCTTAACAAACTGCCACAACTTGTTCAAACAAGCCTTGTAATAGGTCAAAGCAGACTTAAGACCTCCACCGTAGGTCTATTATCTTGCTATTCTGCTTTTCAAAGTGATCAATGTAGGGCATCCAATCCGTTGCATTCAGTAATAGCGAGCATGAAAACCTTGTGGAAAGGGAAAGAAACTACAAGAGGGCATCAGTCCTTAACAAAACAATATGGTAACTTAAAACAGAAGCCAGAGCAACAGACTACTTCGGGAAACGGCAAGTTGATAGGGGTTTTATTTATTAATGTTCTGGTAGACAAAAATACAGTTTTGGGACCAAAGGGAATTAGATAGAGCACAGCAAGAAAACCATGATTCCAGATCAAGCTGGGCAAGGGATAAAGAGTTCTCCAGGCTATGAAGCTATAGTGAGTCTAACTGAACAAGTGACAATCATTAACTGTTGTCCACCAGAAGAGTGGATGGACATTACACTCGTCAATGAGGCACAAACTATACCACTGTACAAAGGAGGCAATTTCATTCGCAGGTATTCCTCTTACTGGCTTGCAGAAATACATAGCAGAGATAGATGAGCAAGCCCAAAGTCTCTGAGCTGCTCAGAGACATCCAGGTGGCCACCCACACTTCCCACAATTGGAATGGAGGACACTTGCATAAAGTGCTGAAGGCAAGAGTGGTTGCCAGTGATTGAGCACCTGCATGCCACAGTCTGAACTGCAGCTGTGGTTACCCTTTTTCCATTACCTACTAAGGCTTCCTTAAGTCACTCTGTATGGCTTGCACATCCAGTGCCTTAACCAGTGAATGGCAGGCATACAATTAAGTGAACTGTAGCTACCAGACAACAGCAGCAGAAATTGTAGAATTTGTCTTTCCTAGTCAAGGAAAGTATTCACACACTGACTTTCTTCCTCTGCAGCTAATAGCTAGGTTTGTGGCTGTTGCACTGCTGCTGGGCAGAGGCAAAGTTTAAATGTCTGATCTCTGATCTCCTAGCAAAGAGAGACAGGGTTCAAACAGACTCCTCATGAAGCTGTGGACAAGCTCCTTAGCATTTAACTTTCAAGAAGGGGATAAAGTCGTGCCAGCTTTGAGCACCATGGATAACATCAACTAGCTTGTGTCTTCCCAAGTGCTGCAGCAAGACTAGGTACTTCTTCCTAAAGATCTTCTCCTAGCTACAAAGAGAAATACTTCCCCAGCTCCAGTTTCACTCTGGCTGTTCAAATCACAGAGTGTGATTACCAACATTTATTTATGAACAGTTTTTGCTTGGTGTTACACCTATAATTGATCCAGAAGGCTACAGTTTAAGCCCACAGTAAGTACTCAGAAGGACAGCTTTAGATTAGCAATCACTTAAAAGTAGCTTTGCCAATGTGAATTTAACATGGAAAAACACACATTCATAGAAAAGATATGAAAGGAAAAAAGCCTGGTACACTGGAACAATATGTAGTGGCAGCCATGCTTTCCCTGAACAGTGACTGCCAGACAGGGACTCTAATAACTCACTGCAGTAACAGATTCAGAGAAGGGAGATATGACAGAGTCTTGGATCTCCTTGCAGACACTGATGTCTGCAGCTCACTTGGTTTTGGAACTTGTAAATTTGAGAAAACATTCTGCCTTCTTTTCCCAAGGTCCTTCCTGGCCTCCAGGAACACTCCTGTTTTTCTCCACGTGTGCTCTGTTCCCCCTTTCTTAGGGACCTGATGCACCTCTCTGTGTTGGCAGCGTTTTACACAATACTTTCTTGCTCTCCTTTGGGTAAAAAGCTCCCCTTCATCCCACTCCATGGATTCCAGGATACAGGCAAAACTGAAAAGCTTTGCAAAGCTCAGAAAAAGCAAACGTAACCTAAGGACAGGATAAAAGGCTTGAAAGAGCATGCTGAACGGGGCATCACTTCTCCTCCAAGTGCAGTACTGCTGTCAAGAACTGTTCACCGAGAGGCATGTAGGAGCTATGCTTTCTGCTGAAACACAATACTGGTTCAGAACTTGTTCCAGATCTCAATCCTTTCTTAGTGAGCATGTGTCCAGCATATTTCACAGAAAGTATCACTTTGGCTTCATGCATGGAACAAAGGAAATCCAAAGTTTTTAACATCAGATAGCTCCTTTGTTTTGATTAAGCAATTCACATGCTAAGTATGGAATATTAATATGGAACAAGAACATAACCATGCTGTCAAGAGCTCATGTTCTCCCTCAAACATTTGATTATAGCCACATTTTCACCACTACTAGACCCTAGCCTTTGACAAACATTCCCTCAGCTCCTCTGCTTTACACACTTAAAAGATATCTATGCCTGATATTATGTAGACAGAGGTCTTGTCTAACCACCCCAGGTAATTGCTGTACCCAGGACTGCAGTACAGCTTGCACGTTTTGAAAACGCTCCTGTGAAAAACATTTCAACCCTGCAAAGTCAATGAATTCCCCAAATACGATGGCCTGCCCTAGCGTGGCATAAAAAACCCCTCAAACACAACAGCTCAGAACAATAACCCGTGGAAACACTGCTCAGAAGACCACAGCCTCTGTCACTAACTTGCAAACAGTCCCAACATGGACGAAGGATGCCAATGTTCTGCCAACTGAGATAAAAACTTAGTTTCCATATTCCACATGAAGTTAGGATATTCAATTTAAGACAGCCACCTAATTCAGCAAGAGCACAGTTAACAAATGCACGAGACTATAAAAAGCCCCATAACTAAACAGAAGAGCTTGACTGATCCTCCCTCTCTCTACAGTAAAGAGACCCATTATTACAGACAGAAGAACCTTACTAATAAATGAACTCCTAAGCAGGTCTTGGAATAAGAGGGAGTTAAAACGTATTTGAGAAGTCAATATATAGTGGTGTATCAATATGTTCACAGGGTTTAAGTACCACTGGCTCAAGGGACAGCATTTCACTTTCTCTAGACCCAAGACACTTGTCTAGAATGGCTGTACTGGGGCAGAGCAGAAAAATATTTAACTTAATGTCTGGTCTCCAGCATGAGCAGCAGCAGCAATCACCAGAAAATTTAAGTTGAAACGCACCTCCGGAGGTCACCTAGTCCAAACAACCTCCAGGTTACTCAGGGGCCTAGGAAATAGTATTATGTTCAAGTACATGATAATTTCACTCAGTCTCCATCATTTTGAAGCTCAAGGGCTTCCCACAACTGAAGCAGTATCTGCAATTTGCCCTTACTTCTGCCTGCTCAGCTGGCCAGTATTAGGGGTTGAATTTGCAACACTAACAAATACCAACCATATCTGCCTCCTAAACAGGAAATATTCTCAGCAAGGCTTCCACTTTCCAACCACTACCCAGCCTATGCTCCAGTCCATAAAAGAAACTGTCCATTTTCCATTAGCTAACCGAGCTCCAAGCGTGAAGCATGCCTTCAGCTCCATTTGTCTAATTCTTCAACTGCCTCAGTGGTTAGGGAGCTTCAAATCAGTGTCATACCCTCAGAGATTAAGAGATTTTTAACTCTTGTTCTCATATACACCATTTGCCAAACTGACTCTAGAAATTTTTGTGCAAATGTGAAAGATCCCTGAAGAGGCATCTTTGGTGTGCACTAATGCATCCTTCCTCCTTCCATTTCCATCCACGGTGCATACTCCCATTTCCCATTCCAATAATGGGTACCTAAGGAATTCAGTAATTAATGCTGATGAACCAGCTTACCAGACTTTACAGACACTATCCCAGGTAAGAGAAGGGCAGAAAGTCTGATAACTGAGAGTGACTGTGTCCTACTATACACAGGGCAAAGCAGGCAGCCATGACACAGGCACGCTTTGCAGCTACACATATAAGAAAATTTTGCAAGGATAATAATAACCTGGATAGAAACACAGCGTGTGCTTGGCTCAGTTCAACCGTTCTGTATATATAGAATCATGTCTTTATTTATGGAATCAGCATATGCTCTCATCTCAGCTTCAGAGCTATAGGCATTGCATGGCAGAGACCGACACCCTATAATGCAGTCATCTTTGGTAATGAGACACAACAGGAGTTTCATTTAGGTTGCTGCTCTACTCCATCAAGGAGTTTGCTACCTGGTAAGTTAAATCTACCTACCTTTACACAGCTTTTTCTCCTTCTAAAAGGGAATGTGGCTCTCCCAGAAGTTTTTTATTCAAAGAGCACCTGTGCTTCCAAAGAGGTGTCTTTAACTGCTGCAAAGCTGGGCACAGGGTCCCAGACAGGGCTGTTCCCACTATAGGGCTGTAGCATTTTACATAACGACACCTACCTTTTTGTGCTCCTGAAGTTAACTTGGTACCCAGGTATGGTTGGAGGCCTGCGAGGTGCTGGGATAGCTGGGAGTAGACAGAATGGGTTCAAAATTAAAGTCCAGTCCTTCTCCATCCATGAGTTCACTGTTGATTATGTAATCCATATCACATTCAAGGTTCTCCATGTACATGTCAATGTCCAGGTCAATGGGTAGCCTGTCCTGGTTCAATCCTAACGGAGCAGGGCTAGCAGAAGAAAGCAGTGGACTGCCCAGCTGGACTGACTGAGCAGATGTTGCAGACACTGGAGCCTTCAAACTGGTGATGCTGGCAGTGTTTTGAGATGTTACTATGGGAAGCGTTGATGGCAAAACACTGGCACCAACTGGTTCTCCCTGCTGCTCTGTAGGCTTTCCTCGTGGATTGCCCGAGCTCATCTTACTCTGGGAAGCTTGTCCACCTAGAAGCAGAAGAGTTCGGCTGCTCATCCTGTTACCAGTCTGCGGGAGAACTGGATCCACCTGAGTCATCAAAACATCCCTTGGAGGTGGAGAGCTGGGTGTCAAAAGAGCTTCCAAGGTCTGAGGGGCAGAGAAATGGCTGACAGAACTTTGCAGTGAGATATCAACAGGGTTAAACAGGGAATTGCCAAAAGTAGTGGTCTGACCAGCTGCATTTGGGCTCCGCAAGGAAAAGCTGGAATCTCTCTGGATCTGACCACTTGAGGCAGATTGCTGGGTAGATAACACAGATGAGCTGGGAGACATCAAATTTAACCCATCGATGAGCTCAAGCTCCTCAGTCACAGTTGGTGGAACATTGCTGGATGCACTGGAGTACACTAGAGAAGGAAGAAGCTCTTCATCGTGGAGGTCATCCTGCTCTGTCAGGATAGGAGAAAGCCTGGCACTAATGGTGCTTGCATTGGAACTCGTTCGAGGCCGGAAGGTGTTCCACACATCAGAGTCCTCATTGCTTCTTGAGGATGGGCTCCCAGGCCACTTAGGGAACTGGGAGCCAGGACTGTCAGCAGTGGATTCTGGAGCAGACTGGAGAGGAGGCTTCTTTTTGGATGCTTTACCTCTGACTTTTGCGAGTTTGCTGCTGTTGTCCATGGAGGCAGCTCTTCTTCTTGGTGCTTTTCCACTTTTACCACCCTCAGGATTGAGCATCCACCAAGAGCTCTTCCCTGTGGCTTCATTATGGACTTTAATGAACTTGCTGTGCAGGGACAGGTTATGTCTAATAGAGTTCTAAAAAAAAAAAAAAAATAAAAAAAAAATTTAAAAAAATTGGGGACCTGACAGTTGATACTCCTCCCACCTAGAAATCTCACAAGCATAAACGCATTCAGGCAGTGTCCAGAGAATCACAGAATCATAGAATTGTTTAAGTTGGAAAAGACCTTTAAGATCATCAAGCCCAACCATCAACCTAATGCTGCCAAGTCCACTACTAAACCCTGTCCCTAAGCACCTATCTACCAGTCTTTTAAATATCTCCAGGGATGGCGACTCAACCACTTCCTTGGGCAGCCCATTCCAATGCTTGACAACCCTTTCAGTGAAGACATTTTTCCTAATATCCAATGTAAACTTCGCCTAGCACAAAGCGAGGACTGTCAGCAGTGGATTCTGGAGCAGACTGGAGAGGAGGCTTCTTTTTGGATGCTTTACCTCTGACTTTTGCGAGTTTGCTGCTGTTGTCCATGGAGGCAGCTCTTCTTCTTGGTGCTTTTCCACTTTTACCACCCTCAGGATTGAGCATCCACCAAGAGCTCTTCCCTGTGGCTTCATTATGGACTTTAATGAACTTGCTGTGCAGGGACAGGTTATGTCTAATAGAGTTCTAAAAAAAAAAAAAAAAATAAAGAAAGAATTTACAAGATATGAGGACCTGACAGTTGATACTCCTCCCACCTAGAAATCTCACAAGCATGAACGCATTCAGGCAGTGTCCAGAGAATCACAGAATCATAGAATTGTTTAAGTTGGAAAAGACCTTTAAGATCATCAAGCCCAACCATCAACCTAATGCTGCCAAGTCCACTACTAAACCCTGTCCCTAAGCACCTATCTACCAGTCTTTTAAATATCTCCAGGGATGGCGACTCAACCACTTCCTTGGGCAGCCCATTCCAATGCTTGACAACCCTTTCAGTGAAGACATTTTTCCTAATATCCAATGTAAACTTCGCCTAGCACAACTCGAGGCCATTTACTCTTGTCTTAAAGACAGACATACCCATAAAAAAATGCTATTTCTGCTTGAATGTGCTTGACAGCACTAGCAAGCAGTGCCATGTCTCACTGCAGCACAAAGGGTGAAACTACCATGACAACTACTACCAAAATACTAACACAAAAGAACTTTTCAAGACCATACAGAATCTGAAAAAACTAAGCATACCATACTGCAAGTAAGCAAATTCCCAAATACAGCTTGCAACTTCAACACGAGCCCAACTGAATTTGAGCTAATGCTGCTCCCACCCTTCTGCCAACCCCATTAGCCAGCATAAGCCTGGCTGAAATTTTTAATTTTTATATGGCTGGCTTCCAGATAGATTCAAGCACAGCAGTGAATCAAATAGACCAGGTGAAGAGAAATGGCAGAACACTTGTAGTTCAGTACGCCCACTACCATCTTCATTCCAAAATCAGAGAAACAAGAGACAAATTTGTGGAACAAGAGCCCTAGTAATCCTGGAGCCTGCCATCCTCACTCTGCAAGGAGGCAGTATGCTTTCCTCTGTATACATTCCTAATAGGGGTAAGATGTTCAGCAGATAGTACACCCCCGCACAGTACGTGCCAGTTTTAGCCTCTCCCATCTTTCCGTTCGGCAAGGCACAGATTCCTTGCCTCTCCCAACTCCCTTTTGGTTTAGCTTTGTTGGAAACTGCAAGCTGACATATCTGTACACCACCACCAAACTGAATTTTCATCCTGCAACTGATAAACTCCCCAGTGTTTTAGAATCAGCAAGCAATCTCACCATTTGAGCAGATCCTCCATAAACTCCCCTTGAGGCCTGTATCATGCATTTGTTTGATATTTGCATTTAATTTGTTCAGATGGTCAAATTACACTTCATTAAAAGGTGTTACACTGGTAGCATAACAGCAGTCCAAGAGCAACATCTTTTTCCTATAAACTAAAAAGTATATAGCAGCCTTCAGCTTTCATGCTTTCTCTTAATTCTGAAGAAAGTTACTGTGCCCTTGTCATCCTTTCCCACGATGTCTGAATACGGTTCTTTCCTGCCTGCTGCTTTCCTTCTCCCCACCCTTTTCCTCTCAGACAAGTCCTCACCATTGCTAATTTTGGCCACCTCACCAAAAGTACTATCCTCAAATGAAGCAGACATAGATAAAATATATAGGCAAACCGAGAAGGTTTTCATGAAGAAGGAAGGAAATGTGAGAATGATTTTGCATTAGCTTTCATTACCTTTGGCTGTTGAGGACTCGGAGAAGACTGGCTGCTTGTTGTGATCAGTATCAAAGGATACATATGCTCTTACTCAGAAGCGTACCCCAAGGGTTACTGTGGAGCCAGGGCCTGATGGAGCACGTGTCAGTCAATGCTCTTACACAGTTTTATTAATAGAGTTGTTTAATAGGGTTGTTCACAGTAATAGCTATACAACACTCCTGCCTGGTAACTTCTCTAAATAAAGCTTTTCCTTCAAATCTCAAAAAAAGTACTTCAGACTGGTACCCTGTCTCCTGGAAGGCTGCTGCGCTCATTTCCAAAGAATCGCCCCCTTTCTCCCAGGTAAATGTGCATGACTTTGAATGCTGCAGCAATGAGAACCACTAGGCTGTCACTGGTTGTTCACTTACTCTCCTGAAAGTAATCTGTGAACTCATGACGACACCCAGTCCCATCAGGAATGACCCAATAGCTTGTACACACAGTACACATTCGGAGTCTCATAACCACCTGTTTTTCAGCTCCATTTACTAAAATGGAACTTTAAACCAACAGGTTCAGGATTTCAAAATTTCACAACTAATTATATTCTGTTTTCTTCTTATGCGTGGCTATAGCCAGATTTTAATTTCTGTGTCAGCAAAATCACACTGCACTGGTACAAGTGTTTCTGCACTGGTGCAAGCATCTCAGTAACGCTGAAACCTCAAGAAAATTAGCACCACTTCGGGTAAGGTAAGTGACATTTTAATAACTAGTTTTTTAGGTTTTTTTTGGCTGAAAAGCAGCTTGAAATAAAACATCTTGGCATAAGACTAGGATTCACATGAACACAGACATATGTGAAGCCTGGTACCTTTTATGAAATAGTCTCAAAGTGCTTTTACACATTACTGACATAATAGCCAATATCTGTAGAAAGAGATAATTGCTGTACCACTCCTTCCTTCCTCATCTTCAAACTCTCCTCCTCCCATAACACAAGCATCTGTGACCCTATGAGCTGATTCAGAGAGCTAATCCAACCGAAAAGCAGCCATAACCTTCCTTGAAAATTACTTTTCCTGCCTCTTTTATTCCTGCCTGTTTTTTGAACTAGCTTGCCGTGGGGGTCGAACACCAAAAACTAAGGAAGAGAATAGAATGTGTGGTTGGAGGCAGAGGAAAAAACCTGAACACTTCTTATATTAAGGTTAACTGCTGTCAAAACTGCAATGCCTAAATTATCACTTTCACACCTCTCCTGCAGACCTTGCGAGGCAGCTCACCACCGCAGCAGCAGCAGCACCCAGAGCCGTAACACACCTGCATGACTGAGCTCGCCTGCGCACTGGAGACTCAAGTCCAGAGAGCCCCAAAATACAACTGAACCGACGCACCGACCAGCCTGGGTGCTGCGAGACAGCACAACAGATTCACACTTGCATACTGCATGCTCCCCAGCACAAGAAAGCATCTGCTAGAATGACCTAACATTTGGAGGACACCCTCAAATCTTATTGAGAAAATGAGGAACAAATCAGTTATGCTAAAATAATCATAGAACTCCAAGTCAAACCTGACAGGAGAGGAAATGACAGTTCAGTCACCCAGGCAACTCTGATGTATTTCCTTTCTCGATGTTAAGCAACTCAAACCAGGAACATACAGATGACATTAACTTTTTAGATGCTCAGCTTCAGCAGTGCAGGAAGATCCCAGCTGGTCTGAGCACCTGCAGTCCACAGAAGGTCTTGGCTCTGCAACATCTTTGACCATAAGAAAACATGACCTGAAGGAAGAGGCACAGGCAGGAATCCTTCAAATCCTCAGGGACCTCTTCAACAGCTAGTTAGGGGTGGTTACTGCTGTTTATTCAGATATCTTACAGAGGTTGTTATGGCTGTACATTAAATATTGTGGTGAAAAAAAAGCCAGTTTGTGTCTTTAATCCATCACAGATCAAAGATGTTTCCTGTAAATCACATTCAGACAAAACCATTCTGAAATTAATGACAGAGATCATGCAAAAAATTAAAGTTTGGCTACAGACATTTATTGTACACTGAAGGGCGGGCCATTCACTAGGTCCCAACCACTGTGTGTACAAGCTAGTGTATACAGACCAGACATAGAAGTGTGTCTAGCAGTATAGACCAACTATTTCCTAAATCCCAGTTACCACAGCATTAAATCTTCTTTGATAAAATCTCCTAGCCCTTATTTAAAGGACAGGAACACTCCTCGCCATCGTACCAGGCCTGTCCCCACACCAGCATCAGTGCTGCATTGGACCCCTGCCCAGCAGCGAACAGTTCTTTGGTCTCAAGATAGGGAATTAGCCCTAGGAGCTGGCAGCACAACTAAGCAATCATCCTGCCCGGTCAGCCTTCTGGATGACTGCCACAGACACCAAGATACTATGGAAAACACACAAGTAGGTCATACAGAAGACAGAATGCCAATGACAGCCTTTCCAGGAGACAATAGAGCTTTGTAGGTAAGGCCAAGATTATCTACCATAAAACTGAAGTTTCACTCTGAGCAGGTCAGAATATTCAGGATGGTTTGTTCAGACTTCAAGGTTCCTCACACTAAAACCAAGCTTAAACTCACCCCCTGTGATGTACTTTCTTCTAAGAACCAACGTGACAGGAGCAGGAGGCTCTTGTGCCCTGCCTCAAGGAGCTCATCCATGCAGCAGTGGTACATGAACTGTGCTAGCAGAACACTCCAGGCCAAGCACAAGCTATGCTGAGAAAGACACAAGAAACAGTAGCTATCCTTGAAATTTTGTGCTTGCCTCATTTGCCTGGATTTTCAATCACTGCTCCCTAGTACCAGGGCCATTCTCCCAGGAAACATGAAGCTTCTAATACAAACCACAGAAGCACCAGATTTCTTAACAAGAAGTCTCTCAAGAATGAGCGACTAGGGTGGGGTGGGCAGGAGCGGAAAGATATGCAATCACTGCAGCTGCTTGTAATACACTCTCACTGCCTCGGAGGCATACAAAGAACATGGTTGCAGCCCAGCACAGGGCCATGTTCCAAAGCCAGGCCTATAATCGTGCCAAATTATCATTTGCCATGGCATTCTTGGGAGGCTGCAAGGGCAGAACGCTCCGCCTGCTGCATTTGTCAGTGCCTGTCTCAGTACTCACCCAAGCCACTTGGCTCTGAAGGCTTCAGGAAAAAAAGTCGTCTTTGCAGAGATTTTGCAAAGTTATGCTCCAGCAAGTAAACAAGTACTCCAGAGCCAGGGAGCTAAAACATTTCCCCAGCAATCCCCTCCCAGAAAGCACACGTGAGCGCAGACATCAAGCTCGGCAGATGGGGAGCTGTATCTTAGGAAGAACATTTTTCTTTCTGTAATTTTTCAATGAGATCCCAAAAGAAGAAAATCCTAGCTCTCTAAAAAGCAAAGACTGAGGCCATTTACAAGTTTGCCAATACAGGCAGGCATATACAACAAAAGCTGTTCAGGATTAGATAGAGCAGAAAAAACTTGCTGGAACAAGTAATACCAGCAGCCCAGGAACAGCCTTTTCCGAGGACTGCCTGGAAAATTATGCAGTGCTGCAAGGAATAATCTTTCAGCAAAGCAGCTTTCCAGAACAAACTGGCAAGGAGCAGGAAAGAGTAGCAGCAATATCTTCAGGTAATTTGACTGGCATTGCATGGGGCAGATGGAGTTTCACCAAAAGACAAACTCTCCCGCACTTCTGAGGGAGACATCTACACTCTATAAAGTTTCAAATGAAGAAAATAAACCTTGCACTTCCATACTTAGTCAGGGCACTACACCTTGTTTGGGAGAAGGGGCTGTTAATGTAACTTTAACCAGGGCTAAGTATATGTCACTACATTGCAATGGTGGGTCCTCACCATGGTTGACCATTCATCAATAAGTTTTATCCCACCTGAAAAACAAGACACCTGGTGACCTCACACTTGCACCATCATCCTGCTCCTATGCACTGCCACTGGTCTCATCTTCCACATCCAGCACTTCACCATCCTCCTGTCCACAACACCCTGCCATGCCCAGCTGCCTTCCTCCCTCCTCATCAGGCCCTCTCCTAGGGCCTTCTTGATGCAGTTATACCATTCAAGGACTAATGGGATTTAAAGCTAAAAGATTCTATTAAAAGAAAGACTGATGGACAAAAGCCATCTATGCTCCTCAGGTTTCCATGCTAGACTCTTCACTACAGCCCCTGAACAACCATTGTTCAGCTCCTGGTCATTATTTCCCCCCCTGCTTTAAGGGAACCCAGCTAGTTTGTCAGCAGCTGGGACACAGAACATCTCCCTGCTGCCAGGACTAAGCACATCGCTAACACCACATTAATGCATTTGGGGGCATATGAGGTAATGGCAAGAGTCCAGCAGTTTCCACCCACCCCCAGCTACTCTGGATTTGAACAGCCAGACCCTCCCTCCCCTTGCAGGGCAGCAACTTCCAAGACACCAAAATAATCCCAACTTAATAGAAAGCAGCACCTACAACATCACTAAGGATTAACTGGACTTAATTTAAGTCCCAACAATGACAGCAATGACATCACTATTCTGATTTGATTTGGAACACTCAATTCATTTTTCATGTCAGAAGTTTAACAGGGAATTGCGTAATTTCAGGCACATGAATTTAGGAGTAAACACTATGGGCTTTCTCAGCATGGTCAACAGAAAGCAGCCTTCTTTCTTCACAGACTGAGGTCAATGGCTCTGTGCAGCGGAGAGACCCAGACTGAGCTTCCCTTATCCACAAACCTGCCCAGGCCGAAGGTTGGGCAGACCAAGATGCTGAATTTAAGCTTTACATTTCCTTTTGCTTTATGGCATCAAGTCAGTTATGCCTCAGTCAGCAAAGATGGGGAAATATTTTGAGTGTCTTCTCAAATCATCATCTTGAAATTATCATTACCAAAATTCAAAAGCAAACCTGTGTAAAGCATTCCCACCAGATATCCTTCCCAGATAAAGGGTTTCTTTGTCAAATTAAAGAAAAGTCTCCTGATAGTGATTTGGGCCCTTACCTATCCATATTAAGAAGCTATGACTCTAACAAGTCTGAGTCAAAAAATCTTCAAGGATACAGGGACACTCCAGATAGATATTAGCAAATAGCTAATGTGACTATTTTAGGAACTGACCATTGCTT